ATCCTCCCCCGTTTCTGTCCGTTCCTGTAAATCGTCGCCCGTTTCTGTCCGTTCCTGTAAATCGTCGCCCGTTCCTGCCCGATCCATATCAATACAATACTCTTAATTCCTTGCAATTCTTTTATCAAATATATCTTATACCCGATAAAAAAAATATATGATACTATAAATGTAGGTATCATAAGTAATATCGTCATAAATGTATATATATAATTTAGTCCGATTCTGCCCCGATCATGTAATTGCAATCCTTTTATCAAATATATCTTATACCCGATAATGATACTTAAATGTATCTAATATATATATTCATTAATGTATATAATAATTAATAGATTGCAGCCCGTTCCTGCCCGTTTCTGCCCGTTTCTGCCCATTTCTGCCCGTTTCTGCCCGTTCCTGCCCGTTCCTGTAAATCGTCTAACCGGTTTATTTTCGGTATTGAAAATAAAATATATTTTTATCCTCTAAAGAAGGATATTATGAGATATGAAATATATGACGGCAAAATATACAATGGTGTATAAATACATGAAATTCAAGTTAATAAAATTAAAGATTATAATACGGATTCTCAATCCGGAATTTTAGAACGTCTTCGTCTCCAAATGTACACACTCTGCTCAAACTAATATGGCCGACACTTTCATTGCCAGAGGTGAGGAGAAATATGTTTCGCTTTAGCACAATTATTGGGAAACATAATAATGATGCAATACCAAACAGCAACAAAGAGTTCATGATGATGATAGTTTTCTGGATGATAAGCGCCGTCTGTTAATGCCGAAATCAAAGATTATCATTGCTGCAACCGAAGTTTGCATCAGAAAATCTGCCGTGTCTGAAATTAACAAATTGAATAATATTTATGTTGGAACATCATACCATACCGAGTTTAATGTAGTTAAGTGGGCCGTTAGCTATCATGTAACTATCCATGGATCGCTGACAGATTGTAACGAGATAACTGGACCAAATCACTGATTAGATACAAGATACACCAAACGTTATCTGTTTATTTAACGTCGCATATATATATCAAACGGAGAAACATTACTCAGTACCACTGTAGGTGTAGCGCTATTTTTGAGACAAACATGATAAAAAGCAAACAGAAAACAAGCTATATCCTATCACAGGAAGGTAGCACATAATCAGCGAGTAAAACATACAATAACATAGCAGCATATAATTAGATATCACAGGCACACAATTTAAAGTACTATAATAAAAAGATGTAAAGAAATAATAGGGAACACCTGCATATCACACAGGTGTTGTTATATATTGGAGGGTTAAAACACTTCAGGTGTAATATACATACATGCTAATATAGCAAAAGAGTAAAAATTGACATAATATACACGAATAGTGTAAACTAAAATAGGACGACAAGGTCTAGTAAGTGAAGGACATTGAGCTATAATGATGATTAGAAGAGAGGGCTAGAAACTGATTTGTATCAGCTGTATAGACAGATATCAAAGATGTTTGAAATGCTGACTGTAAATTGAGATAAAAATCATATAAACAAAATAAAGGTATTACTATGGTTTTTTATCTCAATTTACGGTCAGCATTTCAAGCACCTTTGCAGATATATACATGATCGTGTATATGTACCGGTACTGTAGAGATAGCTGTAACTAAGTCGTTTGCCATTTTTGATTTGATTTGATTTTCTATTCAACAGAAATACGAATTACGCCTTTCCATGGTGGGCGTCTCTAAATACCCAATACGGCAGATAAAAGTAAAAAAACTTCTCTAAATATGATAATTCATAGTATTAAAGTAGTATTGGGTACATAACTGGGTAGTATTGGGTAGTTAGACGCACCGTCCATGGTGGCGAATTCAACCCAGCAAACGAAAAAAATACTCAGAAAAAAACTCAGCTATACAGCTCTGTTCCCCAATCCAATTCTAAAAAAAAAAACATCACTATTTTCATTCAAAAGTTTGTTATTTAAAATGAAATTTAATATTGACGATTTTTCATAGTTTATTAATAAAATTTCTACTAAAACAATTTATGTGTGAACATTTCAAATTACAGACGAAGCTATAAGCAAAAAAATCATGACAGAAAATTTCTCATAACAAATAACAAATTGATTCTGCAATGGATGTTTTCTGTGTAAAGGGATATAACAGCGTCTAAACCTAGCTACATACAGTAAAACATAAGTCTTTAAATTCTAATCACAGAACCACAGTCATGTTTACAAAATTAATATTAACGATGCAGAAATATCAGAAAGATGGGTTTGTATTAATATTTTCTTCATTTGTCTGTTTTGCTTTATTTGTCTAGCAGGAACAATTTGGAGTAAAGCACCATATCATTGTTTTATTTTCCTTAGACAGCTCGTCAAGTTCTGTAAAAGGGGTGCACAATTTTGAAATAAGTCATGATCAGATATATAAAAAAAATTGAAACTAAAGTTAAATCATTATTAAAGTCTTATTTGGATGCCACAGCAATCCTTGGTTTCAGTAAATGTATTAATATCTGCTTCTCTAATATTTCCCAGTATTTTTAAATTAGATGCAGACAATGATAGCAAAGCCAAATACTCGCCCAACAATGCCAGCAGATCGGTCCTCATCACAAGTCCACAGAAGAGGAAAGCTGCAAATGAGGATGAAGGCCAACCGACGGAAAAGAAAAAGTTTGCCATGAATTTTAATATGAAGAAACCAGTGGATAGCGTGCAATGTGGAAGTAACCAGAAACAGAGTGTCCTGCCCATAAAAATGTCTCTAGCAACACAGGTAAGATTGATATTCCTTCGTTTAAGCTGTGTAATTTTAATTTCTCCCACAACCACTAGTTTTTCTCACTCCCGACTCATTGGATAAACGTAACCTGTTCAGAGTTGATTAACATGTTTGGTTACCCACTAGTGGGTTAAACTGTGATTTCATTGCATTGGTCAATCTTTGATTTATGACGTCGCGTAACAATGCTTTTCAACATCATTTTCCATTGTGACGTCATGCTCCATGGGAATTGTTTCTCCAATTGTAAACACATGATGTATTTTCAAAGGGGAAAATGTGTTTTTTCAGATAAAATATGAATGTGCTGGGAGAAACAGGTCCCCAAACTCGTGATGGTTAGTTATCACATTTATCTAACTCGCATTAGATAGATCAACATGATACCCAACCATCACTCGTAGGGGAACCTCTATGTATAACATATAATATAAAACTGGTGAAATATGTATTCACCCTTTAAGATATGGATGAAACCACTTTTTACTCAATGTAGCTATATTTTGCAAAGTGCCAAATAACATGCTTTTTAATGTTCAGAAAAAACTATTCTATGAACCTGTATGCATAAACCCGTTTATTTTGGAATTTCGAAGATTATGAATTTGCACATGTTATAATCATTTAAGAATGTAATACAATTATAACTAGGGAATTGAACTATTATTTTTTGGAATGCATTCATTACGCTGTTCTACATTTCAGAACACTGAAACCTGATCTTTTTAAAATGTTATTTGGGAAACTTTGTAGCATTTTATTTAGGAAAATTACAGTTAAAAACCTGTAGTGGAAAAAACCCACCTGTTATATTATATAATTACTGTACATATGCTTACACCCAAGAATATTGGTTTGCATATATACATGCTCCATGTTTATTGTATGTTTTACATTAAAAATGAAAAGTTTTCATTCTGACTGAGATTCAACAATGTACTAGTCATGTTCTTTTCTGTTTTCTTCAGAAACCCAAGGAGTCATCTGCCACAGTCAAACCTAAAACAGCAGCTGTAGCCAAAGCATTCGCAGAAGACGTAAGTCCCAGGGATTATAAGACAGCTTTCATGCCCATGGGTGTAGGATAGGAAAATGCCACCCACAGGATTTTCTAATTTAGGAATGCCCACCGCATTTGAGCATTTTTCCCTCATTTCAACCACCAGATAAGGCTCAGAATTTCAGATTTCTATTTGTAGTTAAACTATTTTGCTTCAATTTTATTGGTTCATGTATATCATTCCAAGATTGAGCACTCATCAAGATCTACTGGGTATGTGTTTCCTACATGTCAGCAAATATTTCAAAAATTCTCAATAAAAACAAAAACTATGTGTTCTGTCAGTGCGATTATCGCTGAATTACCCGACAGTCATATACCGACCACCAAGCACATGTGATACCCGACATCAACACCCTCTATCAGAAGGTATTATACGGAAGGGAAACCAATTTTTGGCTTATACTGTTACTTTAAACCCTGATGACTATATTACTGGAAGGTAGTGATGACAGTAATATGTTTTCCGATACCCAAGGACTACCTTGTTTTTGAAATATGTTTTCTCTAGTACTTTGACCGGGTTGTATCTCACTATTTTCAGAGTGACGAAGAGGAGATGCCACCTGAAGCAAAGATGAGAATGAGAAACATTGGAAGGTAAATTCATGAAGTCAAGCTATGGTGTCTAATCTGATATTATTTGATGCATTGCCAATGACTCGTCAGCAAATAAGATCATACAGAGTCAAACCAAGGTAGAAAATGGTAGCAAAAAAATTCATCAAGATTCCGATTATTGCAATCACTATCAGAAGGGCAGAATAAGTTTGAGTTCAAATTCTTAATTACTTTGGGTCTTTTTTACTTTGACCATCAGATTTTTTGTTGGATTTAGAGTTAATCACAAAATTTAATACATATACCATTAAATTATAAGATATATTCAAAATCATATGTAACAGGCTAATAAAAATAGTTTCAGAACACTTGTCCAGGAAAAATAGGCATAACAAATTACCATGTAGTTGTCTGAACTGAAATTTCGTCCAAGTTATATAACTAGCTTCAGCTTTGTTTGGTCTCAATGTATTTTGTTCTTTATTCATTCATTTTGTATTACAGGGATACGCCAACAGCTGCTGGACCAAATTCTTTCGGAAAAGGTCGACTTGGATTCTGTGATAGACAGAAAATGGTGGAGAAAGAGATTATTCAACATATAGAAGAGGTCGGGGAAGACTGAACATTTTTATTTAGACATTTTTGATTTTTTTACAAACTGAAGCAACACTCTTTTACTTTTGCAACACAACCTTGCACTACATTCAGTAGCATAGAATTAAGAGTGAGTTGTTGGCATGTCCATGAATACCTGCTACAGACAGGCGTTTGAATTAGACACAAAGACTGGGCCAATGGACACATAAAGGGTTAGTTACAGTCACAGACCTGAAGAAATCATTCCGAAAGTGTGGGAAGTCCTATGTGAAATTTAAACATTTATCTTAATTGATATTTCACACTGGAAATATTACAACAACTATTATTTCACATTTGCTGTGTAAGGATGTAAAAAATGTTAGAGGATCAGTAAGAATGACATGGTTTGGTATAGATACACAATCTCTTGTGAAGAAAAGTGTTTATACTGATCAAGCAATAATTTTTACAGCATACCTTATATATGTACTGGTACTTCTTGAAAGAGAAAAATGATGATTGAAGTAACGGAACTGATATTGAATAATTTCGGGACTTGTTACAGTGTTCTGTCCATGATATACATATGATCTCTATACCCTTGGAATATGTCATGACAAAGTAAAACCATCTGGATGTTCCTTTGTGCAGATGTTATGAGTTGACTAGTCATAATACTGGTACTGAGTCCTGCATTGTGTATTTCTGTGAAGTCCATGATGCAAGATAAAAGGAATTATGTGACAGCATAATGGAAAAAAATACCAGCTTTGATTCGGGTATAGCTCCTATGTAATCCGCACTACAAATGCATCAGCCTAGTGATTGGTTAACAGCGAACAGTTAAACAATGAGCCTTTGATTTGTCATGACATATTCAAAGGGTGCTAAGAATTAAAGATGAACGAGGGACGATATCGATGTTTCTGTGTCACAGTACGGAGCAACAAGAAGTCGGATGTCTGGTTCACTAGCTTGCAGAGTCGTTCATATTTATAAAATTGTTATCTTGAAAGTGATTTTCATTCTATATATATCTGTACTGGGGAAATTCCTCCGTAGATTAACTTTTGCCTCTGTAACTAGGGCAAATTTGTTATTACAGCGAACATTAGAAATCGATATAATGAAAAAAATAATCAAATTTGAAAGTTGAAAGGTGAACTTAAAACTGGGAGAATATGGATTTTACTAGCTTAGGGCAACATTTTACTGGGTGAAAGTTCCAGTATTCAGACAAAATTTGTAGATAGAAAAATCTGTCATTGTCCTTCACTTCTCAATGGAGTAAAGTCAGGCCTTCTCTTCACAGTTACTCCTAGATGTTATCACTAAGGTCAAATAAATACGGTAAGAAACCTGTGTACCTATTGCTGACCATTAGGTTGCATCAAAGGACCTCGTTTATTAGTCACAGGGTGGCCTAAAGCTTCTAGTGTACATAGCATTCTGCTATCCATTGGGGGGAAAAAAGGTTTTCATATGGACAGTACAATGGTTTTCTCTATATAGCAATACATGTAATGGAGACCTTCCCTAACAATACTTCAGGATCATTTGGAACCCAATTTTTAAAGGATCATTCCCAAAAAATGTATGTTTGTATGAAAGTCCCTGCCAGACTAAGTCTGTAAATACCTGACGTAAAAATCTTAAACCTGATTCTGTGTCAAAGTGTTGTTGATTCACTGTTGCTCTTGATATTTTGTCATCAGTTACTGTAGTCAAATCTACCTTTATGCCAGCTGTACAGTTGTTGGTTAGATACATCAAAGAATCTCGCTTGGTAATCAAGCTATGATCAAAGGATAATACTACAGTACTGGTACTGGCTTCAGTCGAGAACTCAAAATAAGGATCGGTGCTTTAAAAAGAAAACAAACAAAAAAGGTAGAACTCCAAATAACGATTTGTGCTCTAAAAAAGGCATGAAATAAAAAATGTAATGTGATCCCTTTTATAAACAAATTTCTGTTAATGTAAAGTCACTGGACTACAATAACAAGCTGTATACAAATAAAACACTGGGAAAAAAACTGTCCACTAATACTCACGTAACAATATTTATTTGGGTTGTTGAGTGAAGGAACACGATAATCACACTATTAAAAAACACAGTGTCAGTCGTTCAGAATTATTTTTATTTTGTATAAATTCAGTTATTTTCTGAACTGATTAATAAAATTGTGGTATTTACAGGTATGTATAGGAAGAGGTACGCAAAGGATTGTTGATATCAACAATTATTTATCAGAAACTCATGATAGCATGATACCAGGTATGACCTTTATCACCATAAGTTTATTGGCGAAATTTCAGGTTGTACATTTTCTTATCAGAATATTGTTGTGTACTATTTTGTCCATAAACATTATACTACAACAGTTTACAGAAAATATTGTTATAATGTACTTGTTCAAACACACATTTATGTCTGACCTCATGACAATTGGCAACATGGTGATAAATGGAGATAATCTGGTATGGCATAGGCCATTTAATTACCTGGTAATAGGGTTGAAATGGCGCATAAACCTCTACACTGACCATTTTGATAAAGGGAGATAATCCAGTATTGGGAAAACTTTTTTTTAACTGTAAAAATTCAAATTAAATCCAAGCTGACAGCATTAGCCATACGTAAGTATTGCAGGCCTAGTATAAAGCTGGTCAAAACTGTTGAAAGATAGAACAGTCTATTCTTTCTTGTGTGTTTTGCATATGTCTGCTGAGAGGAAGTGGTCTGTGTTTTTATTTGTCGATATTCCACTCTTCTTATTTTAAGGATTTTATTGCAATTAAGTTGTAGCTTGGTAATATTTCCATTTTAAAGTTGAAGAATTAACTTTCAGTATTTTTTGGTATCTTAATGTTGTACAAAAGTTTTAAGAACTCAAACCATTTTCTATTAATGCATTAAATGCATGTTGTAAATTTAAATTCTTTTGACCTGTGTCCTGAATTTTTTACGCATCAATATTTCTTAGTTTAAGCTTAAAGTACCATAATTTCAGTATATGCTGTAATAATAAGTTATTTTATTTAAAAATTTGAAATACCTTTAATATTCTCAAGAAGTCAGACCGATATACTGCTTTTAGTAGTGATGCTGTTGTTGTTGTTGTTGTTGTTAACAAAACACATTAATTGAATTAAATTAAACTTTCAGTCTATAAAGTGTTTGTCAATTTTCAGTGTTTAAATCTTTATGATGTTGATACACAAGGATAGTTTACAAAACAGGCACATTTTAATAAACTTTTTCAACTTTTTAAATGTCATTTCGTATAATTAAAAAGTAGTCTTTTAAAGATTTATTTGCATCAATATCTTCAACATTTTATCCCTATACAGATTTCTGGATATGAAACTAAATACTATCTGCAGAACAGCATAATTTATTATTATGTGTTTTCAAAAATAAATATGGAACCAGCAATACGTTTATGTTTTTATTTTGAGTTTGCACACAATATAACCTGCACACAGTATAACCTGCACACAATATAACCTGAAGATAATTTTCAGATACTATATATATAGCTCACTGCATGGCAAAGAAGACATTCATGGGCAAATACCAATTTTACTGGTAAAGTGCAAATACTTAATTGAATGAATTGTCCCTGTTACAAATATGAATTTCAGCAATTATATTTATTGGATATAATTCCTTATTCTCCTTATCATAATCAAATCTGGTTTATCCCATTACTGATACCAAATGCAGGATTTGACTCATTTCCCCATATGGAGAAAATTTGATATAGGATGTAATTATGTATATATGGAATTCCCTCAACTCCTGTATAAAGTCAACCCATTCTCTTGTTGCATTTAAAAACTGTTTAAAACATGATATTTTTTTTTCCTGCAAATTTACAATTTTACACACTAGACTTAGGAACGAATGCAGCACTCTACAATGTGACCTTTACAGAGTTAACCTCAGTGATAAACCTTTATGTTTATGTGGAGAAGTAGAAAATGTACATCACTATTTCTATACATGTCCATATAACTCAACTGTAAGAAATCACCTGGTAAGAAATCTTAGGACCTTAAATCTTCCAGAGATCCTCCTAACTGACATAAACACACTTTCTCTGGGGTAATCAAGATCTCACTTTTGAACAAAACAGTAAAACTTTTACCTATGTATGTAAGTACATTAAGGATACAAACCGTTTCTAGTAGTCTTAATTACAACAATTACATCATGTTCGAAGAACAATTTTTTTTCTTTAGCTGTGTGAAAACCTCGGTTAATTCTCTATGAGTCGGGGTACAGAGAAACAGTCGTCAACAACCTATTTTGTTAATTCAATTTAATTATTTTTTTAAATGAAACGTACATGTAAAGACAGCTATGATGTACGTAAAATGTATTTAAGTTAGGAGAGGGCTTAATTAAGTTGTAAGAACTTGTGTCTAAATCCTTTTTGTCATTTTCAAGGCAATAAAAATATGTTTAAACCAATTATTTATGTGATGAAAAATATGACACTTTCGGATAAACATATTTAACATATACTTGTTCGTGATGTGGGCTGTTTTGCATGTGTGATACTACTAGCTGTGCATAGGTCATATCCTGGACCAATCCATACCCCCAAACATGCGCAATATCTGCCTGGTATTTGCCATATCTGTTTAACTTGTGATAGAATGTGATCTTATAATTAGTTAAGCTCATGAAATATCAATTTTCTGCCAGTTTTATGTATTTGCTTATTACCAGGTACTTTTGATGTTATTGAGCAGTATATGATAAAGGTTACCATATGACCATTACCATATCCTACGCCATACCAGCCCTTGACCCATATCAGTCCAAGGGGCCAGAGGCTGATATAGGAGTCTCGGGCTGATACTGAGTAGGATACGGAAATGGTCATATGATAACCGAAGTTAGCGGAACTGGACTGGGTCATTTTAATCCTGGTCTAAATATGCATTTTTCAGCTGTAATGGTTTATGAGAAAATTATCATAGATGTCTTTTAATTAAGTGAAAATTATCACTTGTATCAAAAAGTGATAATTTTCACCTAATTGAAAGACAACTATCTGATTATTGACCAATCATAACCACAGACTTGGAATGTAATTTCATGTCATAACTGAGTGTAAAATGGAGATGTTAGTGCCTGTTCTGATGAAGTTAAAATGTGACCAAAATTATGACTAAGATTTTCAATAACTTTGTTTATATGATCAAAGTAAACTAATTATGATACCTTTTCATGGCAAGCAGAAAAGCTATATATATACTAGTTCTTCAGTGGAGAAAATAAAATGTCCAACATTGCTACACAGTTCATCAACAAATTTTGGAATATATAATATATATTTTTCAATGAAAAGTATTAATTTTTTTTTGGAGGGGTGGGGATTGAGTTAGGGTAGGATCAGTGGTGTTCAAGAGGCACTAGCTTACATTTCACTTGTCATTAGTAATAGGCCTAGTGAGGAGGGTTGCCAGGGGGAAGGGAAGGCCTAGTGAGGAGGGTTGCCAGGGGGAAGGGAAGGGGGGGGGGAGGAGAAATATTGTGGTAGGCTGGATCTACGTTGTTATTTGTTCAAAGGTACAACAATTATAACAATTTGTGACGACTCATTCTAATAATAAACTAAATGCTGTGTAAAAGTTAACTTAAAGGCTATATCATCACTAACCAAGTTATCCATAAACAAAAACTTTATGAAAAAAATACAAAGTGTTTGCTAAATTTGGCATTACATTATATTAACAATCAGATATTGAAAAAAAAATAAAAAAAGGTGGCTGTTACAAAAATATTGTAAAAGAAAATGTAAGTGTGCCAGTTGCATACCAGAAATGTCTTAATTGGTGTTAAGTGTAAATGCTTCTTTATCAGTCCCCCCACCCCCACGAGTCGGGGGGTGGGGGGGGAATATAGGTTTGCATTCCATCTGTCCATCATTCCGTCCCTCCGTATGAGAAATTTGTCCGAGACATATATTCTTCTAGGACATCTTGGAATGACAGAGTGCATAGTGCAAGAATTAGGTCACTATGACCTCACTGTGACCTATGCTTTGACCTTTGAGCTTAACTTTCGAAAAAATTGTCCGGGCGTATCAAGCTTCTATACTATTTCACCTGGAGTAACCAGATTTGGTGTACTACTACATCTTGGAATGACAGAGTGCAGAGTGCAAGAATTAGGGCACTGTCAGTGACCTATGACTAGACCTTTGACTTTAACTTTTGAAAACTTTTGTCGGGGGCATATCACCTGTACTTTTTCACCTGGAGTAACCAGATTTAGTGTACAATGACATCTTTGAATGAAAGAGTGCAACAAGTAGGTCACTTTGACCTCACTGTGACCAGAGACGTATATTACACATATTATACGTCTCTGCTGTGACCTATGCTTTGACATTTGACCTTAACTTCAACAAAACAATTTTAACATTACAAAGATGCCTTTAATGTTGTATTATGTATCAGAATACTTTCATAACATTAGGTATATCCTGACATAAGTGTAATATTTACTAAATATATAATTCTTTACCGGTGGGGGACTATGGATTGCCCTTCAAAACTTTGTCTTGTTTTCATAGTGTTGTACACAAATGGTTTTAATTAATGTTCCTGTTTTTTGGGTTAGACCAGGCTTACGCAACTGAAATATATTTAGTTTATTACTTGTTGATTAGTTTTTTTTCAAATTATATTTGGGAATGGAAATGGGATATTTAGAAAAAAAAGATAAAAAAAATATGCTCCGATGCCGGGAATTGAACCCGGGCCGTCTGGGTGAAAACCAGAAATCCTAACCACTAGACCACATCGGACTTGCTAAAACAGATTCAATTTTCACCTTATATTCCTATCGTTACAAAAAAATAAAGGTTTTGAAATATTTTTCAAACAAAGAAAGACGAAAAATGATTTTATATTTCTTACATTTATATTGAAATATTTTATCTTTTAATTCTATTATATACTCCAAGGATAACGTATTTCAAGTAAATGGCACTAAACAAAAATTACGAGAGTTACTTGCCCCTGACCAAAGAAACTCCCGGCAGATGCTGGATTGCCTTGTTAGGAAGTCAACAGTAGCCCGAAGGTTTACTTGTCATCCAGAAGAAACAGTATCTGTGTAAGAGTTGGCATAGTAGGTATGTCTTTATTTTTTGATTCTTTTAAAATGTGAATTTATTTGCTCATTTAAAGTTTAATCAAGGAGGTTGTACAACTTGTGAAAGTTTGTTTTGACTGTCAGTTGGGATGGGAGCTCTTCTGAATCACCACATTCCTCAGTAGCACAACACTCAGTAGCTAGACTTGTAAAGTCCCGGCGATTATATTCGATCCCTCACGAAAGTATACTTAAAGATGATTACTGAGATGAATTTGACAATGAAAGAACTTCATTATGAAGTAATTGATCCTTATGTCATATTTAGCTTTAAGACTAAGAGTAAGACGTCCTACTGGAAGAACAGTTAAATAATTTCATTTACTGTTAGCAGTAAAGGGAGTAGTGTACTGTGTACCTACTTAAGAAATCATTCAAATGGTTTGTTTCCTGTTATATATATATCCGGAGGGTCAAATACATGTCATTTAGACGTCATGTCACTTCAAACCCAAGAGTGAAATAAAGAATGGATAATAATTTAAATAAAGATCATATACCCATCAGTATGAGTATGACGATCTTGTTTATTGACTGCAGAGCTGCAGCAAAAGTATTTGTCCACATAAACTCTGGACAACAAAAATAAAACCGGAGAAAGCTAGGGCTGCAGCAGAAATCACGTAAGAGTTGACGGACCACTGCTGCAATATACTGTATGAATGTTAGCACAATGTGAATGACATTGTGATATCAAAGACGAAACAGTTGAACGTAAAACTTTTAAGTGTGAAGGATTTTACACACACAGTGTATGGAATAGTAAAACATACACCTTCCATTTTGCTGTAGCACGTAGGCTCAAAGGTGGCCATGGCCATCTGATATTTATCATTGCTTGCCCTGGGGAGGTATTTCGACCTCTCATGCTGTGAGCTGGGTGTGGCTGTATAATGCCTGGGCCATAAAACAAACACTGACAGTACAGAAGTAAGTGTATTATAAGGGCTGAAACAGAACATGTCCTGCATCCTTTGGGCACTGTATGTAGGTCTGAGGCATTTGACGTGGTGACCATCGACCAGATCATTGTCTGCACTAGGTGTATATAAAGCCCTAACAGAAAGACACTATACAATTACATATCAGGTCAACACATAAGATTATTGTGTCTTAAATTTCGCCCTTATCAATATAGAGAAGTCTTTAATTCATGGATAAGTTGGTAGATTTCGGTGAAATATAGAGAATATGCTACATATGGAAGAGTATTTAGTGAGAAATATTTCATTTAACATTTAAAAAAACTATATAAGTATATAAGAGGTTGTACATGTGTACATGTATATAGTTAAGATGAAAGTAAGATATAGACAAATGATTGCACCAGGAATGAATTGAACTGCACCATACTACAGCTGTTTCCTACTTTTAGGACTCGGCATCAGTGAATGCTAGAGGCCAAATATTTAGATATAATCCAAATTGGCCTACTACATAATTGTAATTTATTCAAACAGAAATACAAAAGTATAATGAGACTAACATACAATTCTTTTCCTAAGACCATAGAAGTAACAATTAAAAAACCCAGCTGAAGTCATTAAAATATTGTGATATATATATATTGTTGGGCATAACTACATTTAGGTAGGTAAATAGAAACAGATAATATTTACTTAATGCCTTAATTTCAAAAGATTTAATTTTTAATGTCAGTATTTACATATTAGCATCTGTAATTATATATATATATGTGTACCACGGGAACTGCCGAGTGAGTAATTTTTGGTTGAAATAGGAGGCTAACAACGGAGAAGTTCCAAATAAGTGCGTTTCTGTTTAATGGTCACAAAAAAAATGGAGCTGTTCCGAATGGGTGTAACATTACAATATTTCTTTATACAAATTATTACTGTGTTATTATAATTATTATAATACATTTGATAACGTTGTGTTTTTGTAAGCTGTTTTAATTATATGTAATTTTATTTTCCATGGCAGAATGTGTGATGAGAATATTATATAAATTACAATTAAACCATGGATTATTGCACTGGTCAATGGTGGTTCTATTCTATACGCACTGACTGAAACATATCAAAAATGTTTCTACTAACTAAAATGATAATTAAATGTTTACTTGAACTCATAAAACAAACAATACATTGTTTACTGTATCCAAGTTACTAATGAAATGGAAGTTAGATTGTATAAACAGCACTTTCTTTGTACATAGGATCTTACATGAGTTTTCATTTTATATGAGATTTATGAAACAAGTCTAAGAATTTTTCTATTTAGCGAGCCTCTGGCGGGCTAAAATGAAAATTCGTGACGAGTTTCATAAATTTCATATAAAATGAAAACGAGTATAAGATCCTTTTTATCACATAATACAGATTTGTGGCATTTATTCGTGTATATCAAGAATGTTCATGCAACCTTGAAATGTAAAAAGCCACCATTTTGACTCCAGCGTGTAAGTCTGTGACGTCATGTACTTGTTCTAGGCGTGACGTAACAATTGAAACTTTCAACCAATCACTGATAGTCATATTACATGGGTTAATACCCCAAACAAATATGACATGGGTATATTCACTGGATAACACAGTACATTAGTTGATAAACAAATACCTGTATACGAACACATGTATATGTTACTTTGAATAAAAAGTTTGATGTGTGTACTATCCGGTGTGGTCAAATAATACTGCTACACATACGATGTATTAGTACGTACAATGTTCACTTGTTTGCTAAGTCAATTCCTATTGTAACCATCCATTATAAAATACTTGTAACACATGATTATCATCAGAATTTCCCTTATTTATTCACTTATTTTCTTTTCAAATGTGCATATCTACACCTACATGCATCATAACTATTTAATAATAAAAGGTATATTTAATATAAACGTAAACATGTCGCATATCAGTAATCATTGCCTAACTTATGCAAATTACACATACACTTACTCATTTTGCTCCTTTTATAAATACACCTTAAACACCTACACACTTGTGTACCGGAAGGTTTGTGGTTTAACGTCTCAAGTGCAATGGAAATAATTGACATTCTTTTCATATAAAAAGGAAATTGTCTGATAAATTGACTAATTATGTTGTTGGCTGTTATATTGAATATTACCGGTAATAATATACTGTATATGCAAGAAGGCTTCAGGTTTAAACTTTAAGTTTAAACAGCAGCTAGAGCTATATATAGGTACAAGTACGTACAGTATTTTATCCACATTGGAACAATTTACACAAATAATTCAGGCAAACCTGAACATTTTAGCTTCCTTTTGTCTTTATCTTTATGACATATATTTTCTTGAAGTACATATGAAATGTTGTGAATTGATCTACGAAAAACCTGATAATAATAGCACTTATAGGAGACAGATCTAGTGTACATGTATATACATATTCCTTATTATTTATGGTACAGTAACACATGTACATGTGGTTGAAAACTTTACTAATTAATCTCAACTGATGACCTGGTGATTATATAATTAGTATATATGATATGTGCCCTGATTTATATGCAATAAATAATGTAAATTGTTTTGTTTAAATGCAAGTCTAATGTAAAAAGTCAGATTACATTATTAAAGGAGGCACGGTAGCTAGTCTAGTCGTAGGACGCCGGGCTCATGACCGAAGGGTTGCGGGTTCGAGTCACGGCACGGCACTATGTTGTATCTTTGAGCAAGATACTTTACTCCGCATGTTCCAGTCCACTCAGCTGTAAATGAGTACATGGTTGCATTTTTGGGCAGAGCTACAATTGTTGAATGCTAGCTGTGAGTGCCGAAATGGCAGCACTGACTGTATGCTCCCCAGGGAGTTGAGAAAGATATTGGCTGCTTGCGAAGGCCCTATAACCACGGATAATAATTTGTGAACCGCTTTGAGGCGACCTACAAACTAGGTTGTGATAAAGCGGTATATACGAACCTCAAATTATTATTATTATTAGCTCACCTGGTCCGAAGGACCATGGTGAGCTTATGCCATACTGTAGCGTCCGTCCTTCAACTTTTCCTTTAAAACGCTACTAGCTCTGAATGGCCAAGTAGATTTTGACTAAGTTTGGTCGGGAGCATCCTTAGGCTAAGGGGACTCAATTTTGTATAAATGGTGGGGGTGGCCCTCCTGGGGGCAGAGGGGCGTGGCCCAATAGGGGAAATAGAGGTAAAACCTTCAAAGTCCTCCTTCTAACGTAGGGATTAAGGGATTTTATCCTAATTTAGTCTGGAGCATCCTTGGGGCAAGGGGACTCAATTTTGTATAAATGGTGGGTGTGGCCCCCCTTGGGGCAGATGGGCGGGGCCGAATAGGGGAAATTGGTAAAACCTTCAAAATCCTTCTCCTACCGTAGGGATTGAGGGATTTTATCCTAATTTAGTTTGGAGCAACCTTGGGCCAAGGGGACTCAATTTTGTATAAATGGTGGGTGTGGCCCCCCTAGGGGCAGAGGGGCGTGGCCCAATAGGGGAAATAGAGGTAAAACCTTCAAAATCCTTCTTCTAAAATAGGGATTAAGGGATATTTTCCTAATTTAGTCTTGAGCATCCTTGGGCCAAGGGGACTCAATTTTGTATAAATGGTGGGTGTGGCCCCCCTAGGGGAAGAGGGGCGTGGCCCAATAGGGGAAATAGAGGTAAAACCTTCAAAATCCTTCTCCTACCTTAGGGATTGAGGGATTTTATCCTAATTTAGTCTGGAGCAACCTTGGGCCAAGGGGACTCAATTTTGTATACCCGTAAATGGTGGGTGTGGCCCCCCTAGGGGCAGAGGGCCGGGCCGAATAGGGGAAATAGAGGTAAAACCTTCAAAATCCTTCTCCCACCCTAGAGATTAAGGAATTTTATCCTTATTAAGTCTGGAGCATCCTTGGACCAAGGGGACTCAGTTTTGTATAAACCGTGGGTTTGGCCCCCCCAAGGCCCTGAGGGGTGGGTCCAATAGGGGAAACATAGCCAATTATTCTTTAAAATCCTTCTTCTGTAGGAATGAAAGGATTTGGTCTATATTTGGTGTGGAGCATCCTTGGGTAAAGGGAAACCAATTTTGTATAAACGGTGGAAGTGGCCCCCCCTGGCAACTAAGGGGCAGGGCCCAATAGGGGAAATAGAAGTAAAACCTTTAAAATCCTTCTTCTACCAAGGGATTAAGGGATTATATCCTAATTTAGTCTGGAGCATCATTGGGCCAAGGGGACTCAATTTTGTATAAGCAGTTGGTGTGGTCTCCCAGGGGGCAGAAAGGCGGGGCCCAATAGGAAATAGAGGTAAAATCTTTAAAATCCTTCGACCATCGGGATTAAGGGATTTTATCCTTATTTAGTCTGGAGCATCCTTGGGCTAAGCGGTCTCAATTTTGTATAAATGGAGGGTGTGACCCCCCTAGGGGCATAGTGGTGGGGCTCTGTTTGAAGTTTGTTCTCGCTTTATCTCAAGTACTGGATGGATCTTTCTGAAATTTCATATGTACTTACAGCACCTACCATGGACTGCTATATCTTTACTTCATACCAATTATTTTAAACATATTCAGGTGAGCGATACAGCTAGGCCCTCTGGGCCTCTTGTGATTATTAAATTTGTTAACTTATGATTTGTTATATGGGTATACAATGTACATATAACTACAGAAGGGACACTACAATTTATATATTTTTGAAAAACTCTTTGAATACACTACTGCCTCGGACGTCAGGCTATTGGAATTAAACACCCTGCAGTGTTATTGGAACAAATGCTGATTTGTATTATGATTTATATGTTCAATATATATTGCAATTGTGAAATTAAGTTAGTCTTAAATGAAACACCTGATAATATCTATGATCAATATTTTTTGTACAGGAACAAAGATGTGTTTACTCTCAGATAATGTAACATGCGTTTATAATATTTTCGTTTGTTTATTTGAAACTTTTTGACTTAGATCAGGAGATTCATTTGATGCCAGTAGCCAGGCAGTAGAAATACCTCCTACTACAGATATTTCACCAGGTACTTTCACGGGAAAAATAAAATAAAATGATCAGAGGTTATGAAATGTACTGTAATTAACAGCTTATTTTGCAGTGGACACGTACAACTTGAAATCTTACTGAAACCCCTAGCCTGTAAAGTGGTGTCATCAGGCTGAAAAATATATTTATAGCTATAATTACATTGAGTTGTGATATATGATGTACATGTATTTTGACAGGGAGATGGAGGTCTTGGTAATGGCACTGTTGATGGTTGGGGCCTGTTATGGTCAGAATAATGATCAGGCTACTATCATGGAATGGGATGCAAGTCTAATGCCTGACCCCTACACCAATCCCAAGGCATGTGGTCGCTACGAGAATAAGCCAGCCTACGTCTGTGATCCAAACAACCTGCTCCCGGCAAAAGGAGGTAGGTCTCAATTTTTGAAATATTCAACAAAAATAAATAAAATATAACTTTTTAGGTCACCTGAGACAAAGTCTCAAGTGACCTATTGTGATCGCCTTTTGTCTGTCGTGCGTCCGTAAACAATTTACATTTTCGACTTCTTCTCCAAAACCCCTGAACCAATTTCAATGAAATTTTGCAGTAACCTTCCATGGCCAAAGGTCAACAAAAATAGTTGCCAGTTTGGTCCCCGCCCCCAGGGGCCTGAGGGGCGGGGCCAAAAAGGGTCAAATTGACTAAAATTTCAAAAATCTTCTTCTCAAGACCCAGATATGGTAGAATCAAATACTCTTCATAGATGGAAGTGTCTTAAGGTGCTTTACCAAAATTGTGAATTTCTTGACCATGGGGTCTCAATTTTCCCCCTGGGGAGGGGGGTAAACTTTACTATAGTTTATATAGGGAAATCACATTTTGGACCAACATTTGTTTAATTTCCATTGGAAGCGTAATTAAATTTAGGTTAGCATTATCAGTATTGGATAGCAGTTTGATGGTATGCACATATGAGCCCTGACTGACCCCCCGGGGCTGATGGGAGGGGCCAAAAAGGGTTGAATTGACTGGAATTTCAAAAATCCTCTTCTCAAGACCCAGATATGGTAGAATCAAACCCTCTTCATAGATGGAAGGGTCTTAAGGTTTATGACCCTAGGGTCTCTAGTTTCCCTCCTGTGGAAAGAGGGGGGGGGGCAAAATTTATTATGGTTTATAATGGCAAATGATACTTTGAATATTACATGTTAATAACTTGATTTGAATTATAACCCTGAGTTGACAGTTTGATACTTTGAAAATTTTGAGCCAGCCCTACCCACAAGGGCTGTAGGGTGGGGCCCAAAGGAGTCGGTGTGCTAACATTTCTTCATTTTCCTTGTTTAGAATCAGAGGTGCTAGTTTCAAATACTTTTTAGTCTTAAATCTGTATGCTAGATATTGAGTAAGGTGGTTTTATTGTTTTTTGTCACTAAATAATATTTCTGTTCATGTTAAAAACAAAATCAACTCTCTGTATAAATATATCAGGTGACCGTTAAGGCCCATGGGGCTCTTGTTATTTTAACCAGTCAGTTACAACTTTTTACATTGTGTCTGCCATATAGAGAGAGAGAAAGAGAGAGAGAGAGGATAATAAACCAGTGATGAGGGTTTATGCTTTACATCATATGGAGTGATATTATTATTGAGTATATGTATATCCAATATCAGTATATTTCATTGGATAAATCATCATATTTGAGAATAAACTCATCAGATTTAATAAAAATCATAATTAGGATATAGATATGTAAAGAGTGAAATATTCTATCAACTTCTATTGCCACAGTAAAATGAAGTCCATTTCATTGGCCATGTATAAAAAACTAAGGATTACAAAATATGAAAATAACAGTGAAACCCTGATATCATTCCCCTTGTTTCATTTGCAACGTCCATATGTCTGCCAACATATTGCAAGGTCACCTTTCCATGATATTATTTATGAATTCCTACATGTATATACATCACCTAACCTTTGATGTTTCGCCAAGAGTAATACCCTTGAAAATGGCAGAATTTTGTTGTACAAAAATGAAATGATGGCAATATAACAAGGTTAATTTTATGAATAATCATGCTTGGTATTTTATTTATTTGGGGTCGTCAATTTTAGCTACAGCTTAGGTTATGTGATGATATACGTTTGTCATGATGGCATTTTAAATAAAAAATGGAAGAATGATGATAATAATGATGGTACCTTTTTCTCTGAACAGCTGACATCCTTGACTGGTTGGCGGAGGGAACCTACTTGAATGACACAATGTGTCCATGTTCTGACTGGCGATGTGAATCCACCGACGCCAAACCCTATGGCACAATCATCAATGTTGCACTCGTCAAGAAAATCAAGCGACCAGAAGGGTATGTGGGGTCCATTTACAAGACATGTGGTCAAGATTTTTCAGATATAACCCTTGAAATATGATTTTACAAACTCCTGAAATTTTAAATCAGATACAGACTAATAAAGATAAGATCCTGATCAAAATTTCCAAATTGTTATCTTAATCTTGAGGAACTCGCTAAAAGTTGAACAGAAATGATTTCTTAAATTTTCCCACTACAGTTTTTCACCTGAAACTTTGTGTCTAAAAATGTGAAGTAATTCTTTTTTTTATGACATGTATGCAGACAGGATCCCACATCCGAGAACCTGCTGAATGCTGCTCGACAGTTCACCTACACTCTGACCAATGAACGCTGGAACAAGGGTGTCTGCAACAACAACATCGTCATCATGTACTCCGCTGAAGATGAAACGGTCAGTATTACATTATCGTCATTTGTATGTGGGCTACTTGCTCTTATCCAAACCCCATATACCCTCAGTCTTCATTATCAGTTACTTTGTTCAGGATGACCCTACTGAAGTCAGAATAATAACTTTGTCAAAGCATTTTAGTAATACCAATTGTTTGATTAACCAACAAACAACATTACTGAATTTTCTCAGGTAATTGATACTTAAATGAATTACAGGTTATTACCCCCCCCCCCCCCCCCCCCCCCCCCCCCCNACACTGTCAGTCTGCAAAGTTTTTCAGGGAATATTTTCTACACTATTTCACCTAGAGTAACCAGATTTGGTATGCAAGTACATCTTGGGATGGCAAAGCACAGAGTACCAGAAGTATGTCACTGTGACCTATATCCTGAGATAGATGTATGTCACTGTGACTATATCCTGAGATTGATGTACAGCTCCGCAAAAACAAACTTATAGATAGTCATTCTCTGCCTGTCTCATTGCCTGTTATTGCAGCAGGTTTGTATTGTGATTATCTGTTTTCATTCAATATGCTGCATATGTCACAGATAATATTATTTTATGCATATATTAATTAGGGAAAGCTATAATCATAACCCTCCCCTATCTTTTTTGGCTAGCACAGAGAAAATGGAGACCAAACTTGTGCTTCCTTTTATGCATTTGAATCAATTGCCTATTGGATCATCATCAATTGCTGATCATGAAATACTTACTTATTCCTGTTTGCAGCTTTTTACCATGGCTGGAAAGACATCAGCACAACGACTCAATAACGATGTTATTACGGAAATCACCAATCACCACATGCGCCACTTTAAAAATGGGAGGGACCTCACAGCCGGACTCTACAGTCTCATTGTGGACTACAGGTAAGTCTGACCTCACAGCCGGTCTCTACAGTCTCATTGTGTCCTACAGGTAGGTCTGACTTCACAGCCGGTCTCTACAGTCTCATTGTGGACTACAGGTAAGTCTGACTTCACAGCCGGGCTCTACAGTCTCATTTTGGACTACTGTTAAGTCTGACCTCACAGCGGGGCTCTAGACTCCCATTGTGGACTACAGATAAGTCTGACCTCACAGCCGGGCTACAGGCAAGTCTGACCTCACAGCCGGGCTCTACAGTCTCATAGTGGACTACAGGTCAGTCTGACCTCACAGCTGGGCTACAGGTAAGTCTGACCTCAGTTTGACTCCACAGTCTCATTATGGACTACAGGTAAGTTTGACCTCACAGTGGGTCTTTACGGTCTCATTGTGGACTACAGGTAAGTCTGACCTCGCAGCCGGGCTCTACAGTCTCATTGTGGACTACAGGTAAGTCTGACCTCATAACCAGGCTTTACAGTCTCATTGTGGACTACAGGTAAGTCTGACCTCACAGCCGGTCTCTACAGTCTAATTGTGTACTACAGGTAAGTCTGACCTCATAACCAGGCTTTACAGTGTCATTGCGGACTACAGGTAAGTCTCACTTCACAGCCGGTCTCTACGGTCTCATTGTGGACTACAGGTAAGTCTGACCTCATAACCAGGCTTTACAGTCTCATTTTGGACTACAGGTAAGTCTGATCTCATAGCCGGTCTCTACAGTCTCATTGTGGACTACAGGTGAGTCTGATCTCATAGCCAGGCTCTACAGTCTCATTGTGGACTACAGGTAAGTCTGACCTCACAGTCGGGCTCTAGAGTCTCATTGTGGACCACAGGTAAGTCTGACGATCATATAATTAATCCTGTCAGGGAAAGATGTACATAGTACGGCTGCAACAATTCATGTATATAACATCTAACAATAATTTTATACCCCAGTCAAAGGACGGGATGTAGTATTTTATCATGTGAGCCGGTGAGTGGAATGGTGGGCGCGCATGGTGTCTCAAGTGGTTTTCAACAGATTATATTCAAACTTACCATGGGAAATCGGCCAAGTTTAATAACCACCATTATCCGACTGTAATTGACAGAGTTATGCCCCTTTAAACAGTTGCTGAAACAGTGTCTGCTCGATATCTCAAGTAGTTTTCATCAGAATAATTTCAAAATTCATTGGAAGGTTGATTACTACAAAAGCTCAGAGGAGTTAGATAACCATCTTTATCTGATCGTCACTAATGGAGTTATGCCCCTTTATTCAATTGATGAAACAGTGTCTGCTCCATATCTCGTCTCAACTAGTTCACAGCAAAATTTTCACAAAACGTAAACTTGTAGAATAGAGTCCTTCAATAAGTTACTGAGGTTAATAGTACTTAACATATTCTATATTATTTATTATTCCAGGAATGTATTGCGAGGCGAGTACCAGTCCTGGCGGGAGTTTGACAAATCACAGCGCCCCATTGGGGGAGGAAATGTTCCCGTCGCCTCAGTCGCTACATTCCTCTCTCTTGCCATCGCATTTGTCCTCTCATTCAGATTTTAAACGGGGAAATATTCTCAAAACACAACAACCATCACCATCAACTTGGAAACTCTGAAACATTGCCACAGGAATTCTTCCAGGATTGTTTCTAATTCGAAATGTCTGTATGAAGGTTGTTAGATATCCAAGAAATATGACAGTTTACGATTGTTATTCATTGTTGGGGCTTTAAAGGTATAAACGTGTCATTAATGCATGTAGTACAAAAATCATTGTTGGGGGGGGGGGGGGGGGGGGTATGGTATGGTTGTATAAGACAAAAATGTCTATTTATAAAGGTGGATAGTAAGGCTGGTTTTTGTCCTACCCAGCTGTATTAAGATAAGTAGAGATAGTAAAGAAATGTAATGCATAATTCACTTCAGTTATGTTAATAGGTTTGGTTTGGTTGTCCTTCATACATATAAGGAATAAAATTTGAGTTTGTTCCTCATATAGTTAAATGTCTACTAGACTTGAAATAATGTGGGATCCAGCTTTCCTATAATGAGGAAGAAATGTAAACCTTAACACCCACCGATATTGTCTTAATACAGGACTGTGGCTTCTCGTATACTAGACAGATAACACCCACCGATATTGTCTTAATACAGGACTGTGGCTTCTCGTATACTAGACATATAACACCCACCGGTATTGTCTTAATACAGGACTGTGGCTTCTCGTATTCAAGACAGAGGCTGTTAGCGGGGTAGTTTTACAATGCTCTTGGCCCTGAACAAATTAAACCCAGCGAAATTCATTTAACTGCTGCTATGAACAGTAGTGATTCAGTTCCCCAGAATATGGCCAAGTTTTAAATCACAACAGTTTAAGCCAACAAAAGTAAAAAAAAACTACTGCTGCCCAGAGTTGACGGTAGATCAGCCACCCAAAGTCTGCCTGTGATATGTACAGAAGACCCCCACCTTCGTTGATATATTGTAGTTTCCCCAAAGGCCAATTATAAAGGGTGCTATATATCATCAAACTTAATTTTTTGCCAAAGACACTTGTGATAGGAAGTGGTCTGGCTTTCCTCATCGATTATCGAGTATCCAACATCGAATTAACATCAAACATCTGTTGGCTCTAAGCAGAAAGTGATAAATATTTTAAATACACAGATGTATTTTCATTTGTTTAGTTTTGCAGGTTTTTTTTAGAAGGATATTAAGAATGAAAAGCTTTATATATATTTGACTATGATATTTATTATAACTGAATGTATTACATGTATAGTGTATGTTGTGTGTGATGTTTTCAGATTCCACTATGTTGGTATTAGTGAGATTATTTACAGACGAGTACCTACAGGGTGAAGTAAAAAAAATAAAAAAATCTATTATTATTATTTTTGAAGAAGTACATCATATGAATATTTTAACAAAAAGAGAAATCAGAAATCGAATTGAGGCATTCAATATTAGATTTGATGATGAAATTGAATTGTTTTTGTCTTGAGATAGTTAAAAGCATCAATCATATTTTCAAATGTGTTGAGCGGTTACATCATAGTGACTTTATACCAGGAAATATGAGTCACTGCTAACCATCATTTTTCTGTAATGTAGGAGAATTTGTGATGACCACAAATGTTAACACTGTTCAAAGTGATTGATTCTGAATTTTTTCAAGTTTTGATAGAACATTGAAATTTTATGTTCCGATCTGTTATGTTATTCATCTTTCTGTAAAATATAAAGCCATTGTGCCATCCGGAAGAGAAGGTTATGCTGTCATGATTATTATATGAGTGTTGTATGGGAGGATGTCAGTTCCTGCGTTGGACCATACTATGTATGTTTTGTTAACAAAATACCAACTTGTTAGTATGGTCAGTCAGGTGATTTTGTAACTTGTTTGGGGAAAAACCTACACACGTTCCTATATTCCTGACGATATTGAAATCTTTTGGTTGAGGTACATGTACACTTGTAATGAAAGGGCAGGAAAAATGCGATTTTTTTTTTATCAGGTGGGGAAAAAATTCTTACCAGAGGTTCATTGATGTAAAAATTCCCTATCCTTTTTTAAGGGGAAATACTTGTCCATGTATTAACACATTCATTGTATTTATATTTTACATCCATTTATTTAGTCTGTGAATGTTATTTGAAAATCATACGTGTAATGCCTCTAGTTTTAACATAATGCTTTTAATTTCAGCATCTTAGTCGTTTTATTAGATATACATACACTTCTCCCATTGAATGGTATGACAGTAATCCCCGTGTCTAACAAAGATCTGGTTTATTAAGAGTAATTGTATAAAACATATCTATCCATTTTAATTTAAAAGAAACTGTTGTAGAATTGATCAAATTCTTCCAGATTCATAATTCATACAAAATAACAAAATACTCAGTGTTTTCGTGTGTGAAGATCCTTAAACTACATTGTATTCTTGTGTAGATGTTAGATTAAACAGATTTATTAAAGGAAGTTGTTCAGCATTTTACCTGGAGTACAGGGTTTCCTGTCAAAGTTTGACAGAACTGTATGATCACAGGGAATGAGAGTTGTTTTAGATATACATATATTTTATAAATGTTATTTATGTACGACGTTGTAAATGTTTTCTACCATATATATAAGTAAGTGCCTTATTCTGTATTTTTGCTTGACATGTATCATAATAGCGTTTTATCTCTATATTTTTGTTCAATGTAGACAAGACTTGTAAATTGTATCATTATGGATCATTAGAGATCTTAACATCCTTATGATCAAGACCCTTCAGTACTTTGAAGAGGCTTAATTAACCTTTCAGCCGAAATATTTTATAACAATTTCGGTTAAAAAAAGAAAAATGTTAATAACAGAGTTTAAAGATACACTCGCTGGCATTGATAAATCTCAGAAAATGTCTGATGTAGCTTATAACCTGAATTAAAAAGTTTAAAACAGTGCTTCTTGTAACACAAGGGAGGGAAATCCAACAAAGAGAATATAAACTAATTACTTGAGTGAAGATTTTGTAACATTTCTGATTTCTAATTTAAGAAGTGATTTTAAAATGTCATCAAATTTGAACAAAAGAGTCAAACTATCAAATTTGAATTCCTTGTAGAGCACTGTGTCATTATAACAGTACCAATGAGTGATGAATGGCCTTGTTACAATTGTTGGAGGAGGAAATATAATTTGCCACAGTTATTTACTAACATTGTACGAATGAATTTGGTCTTGTTTTAGGATTTTGTACTATTTCATATTAAAAAAAGATACTTTTACATTTTTAGGATCATAGGTTGTTTCTTCTTTTTCTTTCCCTTTTATTTTTTTAGAAAAGTAAGACATTCATTTTCTCTTTAAATTTTGAAAAAAAATGTATTTTATTGAAATATGTTGAACCAATATTTCTTAAATCAATATTTCACTTTATTTGACATGCACAGAAAATTCAATTGCAAATTGTTTTTGAACTTTAAAGAATCTCGAACGTCTGTTCATATCATCACTGTTTGGTGGTAGATGAATGCTGTCTATGTATGCCACTGTGCTTGCCTGCCTGCAAGATTGACAAATAAACATTTATATTTTTCACCAAAAAATCTGTTTTCTTGTATTTCATAGAGCACAAAGTTAAGATTGCTTTGTCCAGCGATTGATCCGTTAGGTTTTCTAAATGTGCTGAGTGGTGGGGATGTTTATTTAAGAAAATGGACAGATTGGAGGGTTACTTTAAAGAGTACAGATCAATTAATGACAGCCTTATACTGTCGGTCGCTTTAAAATTAATCTTTTATGAAAATAAAGTGATTTATCGATCATAGGTTGCAAAATGAAGTTGACAAATACTGATAACCGCTATATATTTGTGTGTATTCTATGAAACTTGTAGGTTTTATTGGTGAATACTTCGTTTTCCTGAGAGGAAGCTATTCCAATATTTACAGCGATAATTGCTGAAGATTTAAATTTGTGAGCTAGTCCTCTAGGGATTTAATGTGAAAATTAATATTTCACAAAAATAAAGTGGTTTACAGATCATAGGATGTAAAATGAAATCGAGTAACATCTCAGTGATTTTTCTATTTCTATGGTGACTTTTTACTTACAGGTACTTTTGGTGACAGTATTCTTACAGTTCTAACTGGTTGGATTTTTGTAACCTGTTTCAAAACATTATGAAAGCTTTGGGAGATAAAGGTCTACCAACTGTGGATTCCCATGCAAACAGTGTTTTAAATTGCCAGTGCAATGTATGGGTGTTAAATTTCGGGGAGATGTAAATCACTGCATGTTAAACAAATACACTTATTTTTTGGCAAAAAATGACGAAGATAATACCAAAGTGTCAACACCAATCAAAATCGATGAAAACGGCACAATATGAACAAAGGAAAGATTTACATAAGGACCCCGGAAAAAAGGTAAAGCCTTATCCTCCAGTGCGGTTAATAGGGTTTTAATGTTACTTGGTATGCAACATCCTCGGGAGTACTGGGATTAAATGTTATAATGACGAAGAATGATGTCTCCCTCCAGAGCCTGGGGGCAGAGTAGCAAGGACCCGATAGGGAAAAATAAAGATAAAATGTTTAGAATTATACTCCTTCGGTCCCTTCACAAGTACTAGCCTCGTCTAGATATGGCAATACAACTTTAAAATAGTACAGGTGTATTGACAGACGAGGCTAGTACGTGTGGTTCCATCGTCAATTATAGGTTGATATAACGTACCAAGTATTGGGAGACGCCGCCGGGAAGAGAAGGGAGACAGGAAAGATAAAAAACGGAAAAGATTCAAAGTGTTGCAATAGGGGCAGCAGATAAACATAAGTCTCTTCAATGTCCTCTTAGTAGAACATTATAGAAGAAAGCCCCCGATTCTGCAGCCCCCCTCAATAGTTGCCTCTTTATATTACGACACACAAGCACTAGTACTGGGATACAGCAAGCAGGTACATGCTTAGTCTCCTCAATGCCCCATTAACGGAAGACATGGACGAAGCTACTCCCGTCAGAGGTCAGATAGTTAAGTGGAAGATTCATATCCGCCGAGTTCTACGTTCAGATAAAGTTTCTAGGCCAGTTTCAAAATACAATGATTCTCTACTTGAATAAGAAGGTAACCCGGTGATTATCCTAGCTTAAACCATCAACCTGAAGTTTTTTTTAATTTGTCTGCGTCACCGAGAGTGCACCCATCCCACACCCATATCATCCCATACCTCACAACAGTATTATAATAGAGGAAGAATGTACGATATATAAATTTTACTTAAAGTTCTTTTACTTAAAATAAATTTCAATTTACGTAAAACGCTTATATATATAACTGCTTCGATACCTTTTTACAAATATTTTCAATATGGGTACTCCACTTACAATATGGGTACTCCACTTACAATATCGGTACCCCACTTACAATAATGTTACACCACTTACAATATGGGTACTTTCAATATGGGTACACCACTTCCAATATGGGTACTCCACTTACAATACTGAACTTGCCTGTTTTTTCAACATATTGTGGCTAATGGCGTCGCTACCCACAGCTTTACTAATATAAAAGATTTTAAAATGTCTATGATCTCATTCATGTGGAACGGTATGACAAATAAAGTGGAGTCTAATAGACTATCCGAAGTTCTACTGTCGGAACGTTAATGTTAATATAAACTTTATTTCATTTTTTTTTTTCATTTTTGCATTTGCAGTATGATGTAAAGCAATACACAGTTGTTGAAATTGGATTTGGAAACAAGTTTTACAACTTATGTAGATCCATCTCTAGAAAAAGCTGGGGCTGCCAGAGATAGAGCAGACTCAAGTTTGAAATCGAGCTCAGGAACGCGCTGGCATTATGCATGGGAGGCCTGGCCAGACGGCGTCAGCGGCGAGCATAATGCATGCGGTATGTGATTGTCCGTACACTTTATGTTATAAAAATATGTAAGCGCCACTTGTTAGTTTTGCCCCGTCCCAGCTTTCGTAAACACAAAAGCGTTGTCAGCAGTGACGTACATGTACAGTAGCAAATATTTTTTCGGAGTGTATGCATGTCGAGCGTCCGAGGCGCGTATCGTCGGAGGAAAGGGAACGAATGGGGACCATAGCTGAAAAAAACTAATAGGTCCTAGAAGCATTGACTTAGATAGCTCATCTAATTCCTTGCTAGAAGCAATCTCCCTTGTTCTGGGAACTCCTTTTAGACTGATTATTACCAAGTAAAACCCTACTTTTCATATGAATAGTATTAAATTTTGTGCTTCTTTGATTATTTTGTTTTGTGTATTGACAAAACATAAGTAACAACACTATCTTATCAGATAGCACAGCACATTGGTCCGCATCCATAGATATGTTTGTAAAATGAACTATTGATATCCTATATAAGATTGAAGTTAAATTCTGCCTAAAATGTCGTTAAATCATCAAGTTAACGTAGCAAGGGGAATCGAAATTTGAATTGACCGCCATGTTGGAAAGTTCGTCTCTCTTGCGATATAGGTCAGACGTCTATATATGGGTGACATGACCCAATATGCATGGACATTGAAGTAAACATGGCGGTATCAGTAGTAATATTATATTTTGGCCATGTAAGTCATTTATATAAAAGATAATTGAGATAATAGATAACTGCACGCGTGATATGTCATGGCGGTCATTTCTACACCCCCCNAGACGTGAAATTATATAAATAAAAAATCTCGTCGTCAGAGGGTAGTTATCGCAGCTATGCATTTGCTGATGTAAGAGAAGCTCTATGTCTTTCATATAATATCAAAAATCACATATTATACCACGTCCGTATTTGAAGAGTGTTTCTGACGGCGGAAAAAATAGATCATGATGGACGAACTTTCCCCAATTAGCATAATCGTGACGTCATAAAGCCTGCAACGTCATGTTATCTGGCACATTTACAACCTGCCCAATGTATCATGGGCCCAAACGGATAATTCACTCACCTTATTACATTCCTGAAGATCTCCCACTCACCTTATTACATTCCTGAAGATCTCCCACTCACCTTATTACATTCCTGAAGATCTCCAACTCACATTATAACGTTTCTGAAGATCTCCCATTCATCTGATTACGTTTCTGAAGATCTCCCACTCACCTAATTACGTTTCTGAAGATCTCCCACTCACCTTTATTACATTCCTGAAGATCTCCCACTCACCTTATTACATTCCTGAAGATCTCCCACTCACCTTTATAACATTCCTGAAGATCTCCCACTCACCTTTTACATTCCTGAAGATCTCCCACTCACCTTATACATTCCTGAAGATCTCCCTCACGGAATTTTAGTCACGGAGTCCGTGTCAATTACTAAGCTTTTATGTATATCATCATAAGTTAAGCTTTCATCTTGTTACACGTATGACATAATTATGAAGTCAATCTAATTAAAACCGTTTACTGGTATGTCGCGTCGACATATCAGTAAATAGGAGCGATGCTTGGATCTAATTTTATAGTTAGGTGGTTAAGAAGTAATTCTGTTTTAAGAAAGATCGGAAAACTGGACAGAAACCATGCTTTTCTTTCATCCCTTTCGAAAAGTACACTATTAGTATCTTTCCCTTTTTAGTTATTTATTTAAGTTTGATAGTGAAGATTTCCTTGCCATATTTCCGGATATCGGAACTTTCCGTAAACGAGAAAGCACGTTTACGAAAAGTGCCGCTGGTTCCCGATTGAGATTGAAGATAAATCCAAAAGAGGTGGGCGGAAACACGTGATATGCCACGTGATTCTATTGTTCGTTCGGAAAGCATCATAATTGTAATTTTTCATTGTATAGTCATGAAGACTCTAGAAGTCTCCCGAACGTCTTAACAACGGCGAGTATAGAATGCGGGAGATCTGAAAAATGAAAATGAAATTGTTTACAATTTCCCACTCGAACTTTATCAAAGTTAATAGCAGGAACATTGATTTAAATAACTTTCTTGGTTATATCTGGAAACCAGAAGCTTATTATAAGGTAAGTCTCGCTGTAAAAGCCAAGGATACATCAAATAGATTCTTCATTCCATGTCGTGCTCGTGTCCTCGTATCTTTGTTCGTGATGTTTGTTTTAAATGGGCTTCAGATACTTGCTCCATATATATCATAGGTGTAGTCACTTTAGAATTGTCAGCGTATATTGTTTAACTATGCCTACTGTATTGTACGGAGTTAAAGTTAGTGTTTTATAATAGAACACACCAGAATCTTTTTAATATTCCTGATTTCCAGAACCAAATATTCAAGGATGTATGGACAAAAGAGCGACCAGGACTGTTGCGGCAGTATGTTGCTGAAGTTGCACTCAATCAGGTAATGCAATCCATACTAGAATAAAGTTTTTATTTATTCCATATTATAAGACATACTATATATATTTCCACACCAAGCACAGAGTCTAAAATTCTGTCGATAATTAACAATAATAGTATTATATAAACATATTATTGGGTATTGTTTATATCTCTATTATTGTTAATTATTGACAATAACAGACTTACATGTATGTGTACCAAGTTAATATATATGTTCAAGGACAACAAATAAAGATTCCTCTATACTTTGATCAAAGATTCTTTATTAAAAAATACCTGTTTAATATTTAATGTAATCTTTAAATGCATACTTCTGATTTTGAAAAGAAGGATTGGTAGCAAAAATTAACATTCTTAATGTTTTAACAAAGATGTAGATATAAGCATGTCCAAAAATACATTAGAGTACTCTTCTATACTTCCTCACTAAATAAGGACAAACAACATTAAATTTTAACCAAAATTGCAGACAGCAGAAAACCAACTGAATTATTTTCGTCATTTTAATATCGTCACTTGGTTTGCGACCATCCCAACCCTCCATCCCCTTCCCCCTAATATTATGATATCTTATTGCAGCTGACTGTCATTATAAAAATTCTACAGGTCCTGGGACCTTCTCTTCTCCCACTTGTGACTTCAACCCTAGACTTCACTTTCAATTTCAATCCCCCCATTAACCCAAACCCCCATGGCAGGTACCGAGCCGTTGCATACACAATATTAAATATGACTCTCTTATGTTATATCACAACATATGAAAATGTAAACACTATTGTTGCTTGTTTATATAACATGCAATTATTTGAAATCTTTATCTTGTAGACATTCACAATTTACTGAATGAAATTTTCTAACAATTCTTCCCGTTTCAAGGCACACCAAGACCCAAAATCATATAAAGCTATAGAGGTGAGACAAGCAATGACCCCTGTATCACCAGTACAGTTGACATCAGTTATGAACCCTCCTTCATCACCAGTACAGGTGACACCAGCAATGAACCCTATTTCATCACCAGTACAGGTGACACCAGTAATGACTTCATCATCACCAGTGCAGATGACACCAGTAATGACTTCATCTTCACCAGTACAGATGACACCAATAATGAACCCTATTTCATCACCAGTACAGATGACACCAGTAATGAACCCTATTTCATCACCAGTACAGATGACACCAGTAATGAACCCTATTTCACCACCAGTACAGGTGACACCAGTAATGAACCCTACTTCATCACCAGTACAGATGACACCAGTAATGAACCCTACTTCATCACCAGTACAGATGACACCAGTAATGAACCCTACTTCATCACCAGTACAGATGACACCAGTAATGAACCCTACTTCATCACCAGTACAGATGACACCAGTAATGAACCCTACTTCATCACCAGTACAGATGACACCAGTAATGAACCCTACTTCATCACCAGTACAGATGACACCAGTAATGAACCCTACTTCATCACCAGTACAGATGACACCAGTAATGAACCCTACTTCATCACCAGTACAGATGACACCAGTAATGAACCCTACTTCATCACCAGTACAGATGACACCAGTAATGAACCCTACTTCATCACCAGTACAGATGACACCAGTAATGAACCCTACTTCATCACCAGTACAGATGACACCAGTAATGAACCCTACTTCATCACCAGTACAGATGTTGCAGGCAATGACCCATTCAACATTATCACTGTCCCCATCAGTAAGTACTTTTAGATTTTACCATATATATCCTGAAAGAATTAAAGTGGATAGGTGGGCTTATTACAAGACAATGAAAATCCTTTTGTTGACATTTCTGATGAACTTAAATAAATATGCTAATAGGGGAGCTGGTTTATTACCAGTCATTGACCTATTTCCTGATAAATACAGTGTGTTTGGTTGGTGATTTTTTTTAATAATTACTATGAAAAATATTAATTATAGGTTGGCTAGTAGAAATTTTTCAAAATCATTCTACGGCCTAGTATTCTAAAGCTATGAAATTGTACATCCCTGTGAACAGTGACAATAAAAGGCATCTAAATTGAAATGACTATTTTGTTCAGATTCTGGTACCCCACTGGCTGGAAGAACAAACCCCACAAATAACATCTCCAGCTGCTTCAAAACATGTAAATAGGGTGAGTTTGACCCACATTGCTTTGTCTAAAAGGAGATATTCAATTTTATTATTTGATATGTTGTTGATGTTTCAAAATTTAAACAACAAATCCAACTTCTTGTTAACTAGACCAACAGTATATTCATATGATGGCAGTGTTCTTTCAATCCCTTGATTTCCTCAAACATCATAGAATTTTCTGACATTTGAAGTAGTTGTGAATGTATAAGGCATACTTTAGCATAATTATTTGCAGAGTTAATGCCCTTTGCAATCAGTACCTATGATATCCTTGAAATTCAGTGATAATATAAACTTTCCCTTACTAATTCTATATTAGTCAAGAAACATATTACCTGAAATATATTTATAGTTTACTTCAGCTGTAGTATATCATGTTATTTTTGTATTTCAGTCCATATGGAGCATTGAGTCGTCTCGGCTGTCAACAGAATCATCTACTTCATCGGAGAGTACCTCATCTGGGAGGTTATCTCTACCATTTGAAGGTAAATCAATTGCAATGTCTAATATATATGTTGAGTGATTAAGAACTAAACTCTTTTATAAACTTAATAAGTTTGAGGAAAATGAAAACCATATAAATATTTTTTTTTCATAATTTTCCTTTTTCTGAAACTTATTATTGTCATTTTGCTTTGCAAAACTTAAAAGTGTGCAGAAATTGATGGGAAATCTTTTTCAGATACACAGTAAATAATTGCCATTCTGCACAGCTTTCTTTCTTGAAACAGATGTTTTGAGAAACAACTTTAAGCTTACCTTTATTCAATATTGGAATGGATATCAATTTATCTTCAATTTTCGTATTAGAGGGTTGCAAATGTTTTGAGAAACAATTTTAAAGCTGACCTATATTCAATATTTGAATGGACATCAATATATCTTCAAATTTCATTTTATTTTGTAGTTGTGCGACCTGGTAGTCCTTACCCTGACTACCAGATCAGGAAGTCGTCGATCCATACTCCCCACGTCTCATTCCACATCCTTGACCCCCGCATTGTCATATTTACCAAAGAAACCAGTGGTGTCTTCAAGGTCCTTGGGAGCGGGGCATCAGGAAGTGTGTACCACGCCAGGCTCCTGTCGTCTGGACACCAGCTCGCCGTAAAACTATACCATCAGGCTGAACTGGTGCCACACTTAATAGTCAATGAAGGGATGATAATGGCTCTCCTACAGAACACAGGAGTGGTGCCAAAATTCTTTGGAGTGCTGCCGGAGCCAGGGGACATACAAAAATTCACTCTTGTCCAGGAGTTTTTTGGTGATGGTATGACATTGTATAAACTCATTGGGATGATGAACAAACATCAAATTACTTTGAACGAAAAAGAGACCATCACCCTATGTTACAGACTGGTTCATGCACTTAAGGTAAGTTATTTAAATAATCTACCTGTGAACTAGCTTTCACTTCATCTACTACTCACCTTATTTTCCATTTTACTAACTTTAATATTCCTTTCAAGGAAATTTTATGTAAGACAATTATATACTTTAAAATAAAATAAAATAAGGTTTTCCAAACAAATATCGTAAACAAAGTAAAACATAATGATAAGGTTCACAAGGTATAAATTACTAGGTAAACTTTATACCTAGTTTTAAGTTTATGGACATAAATTACAGGTTATACATTGTTATAAGTAAATGGTTATGTACAGCATATATATTTGCTTATAAATTAAGGGTTACTTATCTACAGTTTGAATGTGGCTATAAGTTAATACCAAAACTTACAGTTATACTTAGTTAATAGTTCAGGGTCAGAGGTTACAGTTTATATCTGGATATAAAAAGAAAGATTACAGGTTACAGTTGATGTTTGGTTATATCAATATATGTTAAGGGTTACACAGTTAAACTTCATATCTGGTTATAAGTTCCTTGTCAAAGGTTCCAGTTAATACTTGGTGATAAGTTAAGGGTCGAATGTTACAGTTAATATTTGGTTATAAGTAATGAGTTAAAGGTAACTGTCAATACTTGGTGATAAGTTAAGGGTCAAAGGTTACAGTTAATATTTGGTTATAAGTAAGGAGTTACAGGTATCTGTTAATACTTGGTGATAAGTTAAGGGTCAAATGTTACAGTTAATATTTGGTTATAAGTTAAGGGTCAAAGTTTACAGTTAATATTTGGTTATAAGTTAAGGGTCAAAGTTTACAGTTAATATTTGGTTATAAGTTAAGGGTCAAAGTTTACAGTTAATATTTGGTTATAAGTTAAGGGTCAAAGGTTACAGTTAATATTTGGTTATAAGTAATGAGTTACAGGAAACAGTTAATACTTGGTGATAAGTTAAGGGTCAAAGGTTACAGTTAATATTTGGTTATAAGTAAGGAGTTACAGGTAACTGTTAATATTTGGTGATAAGTTAAGGGTCAAAGGTTACAGTTAATATTTGGTTATAAGTAATGAGTTACAGGTAACTGT